TTGTTCTATTGTGGAACATATAGTCAAAGTCGTTGTTCATCATGATGAGGAAGACTTTATCATGAAGGGCATCAGGTTGCTGGACTGAAACAGGCCAGACTTAACAGGACTTCCTTAAACTGTATTTCAAATGGTACTTTGAATGATTTACTTGGTTTTCACCTTTTCCTACATGACTTCTTCTGATTTCTTTCCTTTACATCACATGAGGATAGTTTATTGCCTGTAAAAGACGTATCTTGCTGAGCCTGGTGCTCTTCCACATTTGTCAGTATTTCCTGGCATCAGTTATTTCCTTGATGAGCAACTCAGAAATGATAAATTGCTTGTCTAGCTTGCTCTATAACTATCCTCTTAAGTAGGTGTGTGATCCAACTCTTGAAGACTTTATTATCAGTAACTGAAACTTTTTGTGTTCCTCACTCATGAATATCTCTGAGACTTTTCGTTTGACTAGTGGCAAGTTAGTCTTCTCTAACTCCAGAATCCTGAATGTATTTTTTTTTAGGTTTTTGGAAAAGTAACATGAGCTCTTTTTTATATATCAAGTTTTAATGAAAGATCTTGACAACCATGCAATCGAGCGCAGTGTACATTTTACAGGACATTTCTTTCCACAGCTGTAACAGAGCATAAAAGTTTCCTGACAACTCTCTATAAGTAAAAACATGAAATGATTCTGTGGTGACAGATTACAGTTCTTGCAACACACAGTCAAATGGTCTGGTTCTGGCTGTTTGTGATGAAGGCTGGAAGATAGAATAGCATCTTAATAGTGACTAAGTGCTCACACTAGTATGGTTGGCTACAGCATTCAGAAAACCTTTTAGCCTGTGGCACATATGCAGCATGGACAAAATTTCAGCTTCATTTCCATGATTCTGTGTAATTATACCTTCATAACTCCACTTGTGAGACCTTTGAGCATCTTCAGTCCAGAGTGGTAGGCATTATCTAGGATCTGTCCCTCCTTGGTATTTCACTGAATTTGATGAACAAGGTGCCTGTATACAGTTCCCACTGCACAGTTAGTAAACATCTCTGGATCATGAATTCCTATATATACGTAGAGCCCAATAATAGTAAAAATCAATAAACAATAAACCTAGCAATTGGGAATCTAGCATCACTTACAAACAAATACAAATCAAACAGAAACAGAAGGCAGCAGGCAAAGCTGAATTGTTCCTTGTCTCTGCAGATGTATGGTTCATTAGGCATGCTGTACAAATTAGATTCAAATGTGAAAATATGAAAAACATAAATACTTCTTTGCTTTTATTTTCAATATAAATATATATTCTTTCTGTGGATTGGTACTTTCCTCATGAAATATTCACTGGCCACATTGCAAAAGATACCTTAAAAATATTTGAGCTGTTTTTCCACATGTTATGACTGATGCCAATTTTCAGGTTTGGTGATTAGCATAGTGTTCTAAAATGAGCAGAAACAGCTGGTTGCATAATAGTACGTAGAACAGAGTGAAACCATTTAGCTTGATTTTCCTGATACTTCTGGATGTGTTGTTGCTGTTTGGGTAGGTGATGCCCAAATAATTTTTAAGGTCTTAGTTGCAAACACAAAACCTTTATATTCTCATTCTTTCCTGTCTTTACATTCTTTACTGATATGGTGGCAGAGTTATCACAGAAAGAAACTCTATTGAATTTGCAATTACACATGGAAAAGGAGCCTGATGGGAAAGAGACCTTTAAGCAAACTTAAACATTAAGCCATGGAGTCTCTCTTGATCCTGATGCTTTTCAAACCTGATTCTTCAAAGGTGCTGACCATTGTGACTTAGAATAAAAGAATAAGTTCCTAAATTCTTGAAGCAGAACCCCTGCAGAGGGGATCATGACACTTGCATAGTTTATGGCATGCTGCCACAGGGAAGCCAGATATGTTTGATAAACAAGTGACAAGATGAAAAGTTGACATTTGTAAAACAAGCTTACGAGAAAGAAAATTAAGATTACTATAAAGTTATCTCAACTAAAAAAATGATAGTGCTATCTTCCTCATTCTGAGATACAAGCTGTTCCAGTCAGTCACACTCACTGGCTAAGTTAATGTTATTGACTAGAGCCAGTTGTGATCTGGGACCTCTAGGAGCAGAAAGCAGAAGACATCAGTGATGCATCATTTTCTCCTTCTTAATCCTTTTGCAAAGTAGCAGTAATACTACTGTGGTGACACTTACTGACCTGATGTGACACTTTGGCATTTCAACCATATGTCTGTTTGACCTTATGAACTTATCAGTTTATAATATTTCACCATCTGGCTCCAATTCACTTACACAAACATGAGCTTGCTGTTACTGCTTTACCCACCAGCTTCTTGGGGGAAAAACATTGTTATCTACAAATTTATAGTTTCACACAGAAACAGCAGCACACACACTTGTAGACACGCACCAATATCATTGAGGAGGTATACCTCTCTTCAGATTCATTCAGCACACTCTCACTGCCTCCATGAGTAGCTCAAGAAGCTGACAGAGGTAATGGTTTGACTTTTATGGATTGCATATCTAAGTTGCTTTATCCATAACTACCTAATGGAGGCATAGTGCGTAACAGGTGCCTTCTCTCATGTGGCATCTGTTACCTTAACAGACTGAAGCTAAGCTACTGAAACTTGAAGACATTTTGCAGTTTGGTAAAAGTCCAGATACTCTAAATGTCAAGGGAAAAAGAATTATAAAACATATTTGTGAAACTGGTTTTCTGTCACACTAACACAGATTTTTGTAGCCACCAACTTCTCTGATACATGTCTAATTTATTTGCTCCTTACTGCTGTGCAGTCAGGCTTAGATGTTAATGAATTTACCTAGTATAACCTCTACATAGAGCAGAAACATGATTCCTTTGTTGAGAAGAAACTGAGCCACAAGTGACCTGCCAAAGGTAATGCAGGGAGGGTGAGGGAGAGACAAATATCAACCCACAGCACCGCATTTTCAGGCAGAGCCTTATTACTAAGATGAGCATTCCTCTTTATTGGATCATAGATGTTTCTTAAAAGCCAATAATTTCTAGCTTGAATGCTAAGCTTGGAAACATATATCAATATTTTTTGTATTCATAAATATCTTGCTTTTCAGCTGCTTCTTCAGCTGCTGACTTGCTGCTTCTTTTGAGATTTTTGTTGGTGTTTTCTCCAAGTTGTAAAATAAACTCTTGAAAGTGGGAAAGCCACCTGTAAAAATAGTTTCCCTATGTTTTAATTCACAATTTAGAAACTGGCACTAATGTTAATCTTGTGAAGCAGTTTGTTTTCTAGCTTTAAATAGACAAACTCATACAGATAGATAGTCATAGAAATATTATTGTTGCCAAAAGCTGATGCTACATTAATACCAGACAGATTTCTTCCATTTTTCTCACAACTCTTAGCCCTTCACAACCACTGTGAAGCTTTATTATGCACTCACTGAAATTTTTATTATGCTGTCTGTGTCCTTTTGATCTATTCAAGATTAATGGGAGTCAACTGCCTCTTATTACCTTTCTAAGTGAAACACGGTTACACTTCTCTTCAGGAAGGCTGCCTATCTTTAAATCAAGACATTTTTCTTTTTATAAACTGTTACCATTTGATGTCTGAAAAATGGTACCTAATGCTTTACTGAAAAAAAAGTTATTCTAACTGTTCTATAATCTCTGGCATACTCATGGGATTTTGGCTTAATTATGACATTAAACTAGTCCATTTTTAATCTTCAGGGGTCTCTGTTGAACTTCTATTCAGTGATCTTTTATTAAAAAATACCACTAAAATTTTCACTAGTTAATAACTACTGTTACATTTAGAAACCTTGGTTATGACAGCTTATGCCCTTATTCCTGGCTCATTTTACTGAAATAAAATGCTTGAGAACCTAAAGTCTTATTCTTTATGAACAGGAGACCCTGTCACATGAAACAGCCGAAAAGCAAAGTACTGAAAGAGGAATGAAGACTAGATCAGTCTCTCTCCTCTAGTCCTTCTTTGTCCTGCAGTTATTGTAACTATAACAAAATTCACACTTCTCTCGCCTATTTGGTGCTATTCACAGCAGCTTTCAGTTAATGGGGCTGTCAAACAAACCTCTTTCATCTGCTCTGTGGGATAAGTTCTGAGGCTTCTTCATGAAACCGATGAGCTAGCTATTCTCCTAGAGCATGTGCACTTTTCTTTGGCCTAGAAATTTTAACTCAGTACAAGCAATTTTGACCCATCCACGATTTAAGGACCATTGGGTTGGGGTTTCTGAATAGCCAGAGTGTGAAGTGGAACTGTTGTGCCTGAACAAGTTGAGCCACCAGATGTTTGGAAATCCTAGCCTTGTCAGCATGACTGCTGTGCACAATGGAGATATCTAATACGCTGAAGACATTTGCAAAAGAACAGAAATATAGTAGTCCCCAGAGACCTATGAAAACTACCTTGCATCCTGGTAACTCATCCTGCAGATGACACGGAAGGGACTTGTGTGCTATCAGATAACAAAATTGGAAGGAGAGATGGTGGTACTGAAGGAGGCATAATGTAAATGGTCTTGACACTGATGGAGCAATTTTGCAAAAAAACTGATCTTGATTTTTTTTTTTTTTGTCAAGTTCAAGAAACCAATGATGTATTTTGGGTCAAAATGACAAAAAATGCAATCCCTGGGTAACAGTAGCTGACTTCCTGATTATTTATTCTCTCGCCAATTTTTATGTTATCTGGAAATGGCTGGGAAAAGACTTTCACACTCATCAGTGTTGGTAAAACATTAAATGGAACCATTGGACTTTCTGTTTTAAAATTTAATTAATTATTTAATAATAATGTATTTAAAATAACATATTGAAAGGATGTACTGCTGAAGTTATTTTCAATTTGATGAGTTTTCCCTCATTTTTTGGAAATGCCCTTGTACCAAATCATGAGCTGTTATGTCACTTTGCCTTATAATTTTTAGACAGATTGTTAAGGAGACATCTATCCTTTACTCTAGGTAGATTTGGTAGCTTGAAGCAGTTACACAGCAGTACCGCATCACAGCTAACTTTCAAAGTATCCAAGTTTGTGTGACAAGGAATAATCTGAAGTTCTGTGACAGGTAAGGGGTCAAACAAGTTTCTCTCTGTGCTAGAGCATTACAACGCATTTCTGCAGTGGAGTTTGAGGATAAGATAATAGTTTGAGGTCTTAATGGTTTCTATTTTTCAGTTTGTGTGTTATGCTCTCTCGCTTGTCCTGTTGCTTATGGATTTTCATCTTAGTTATGACTCTGGCCTTTGAGTAGAAAGCTAACTTCTCTGCTTCTGAGTGATGAGCAGAAAGGTTTCTCCACTTGCTTTGTGGAATAATCCAGCCCATTATTATGACTATTGCTGTGGTTATTTTTCTTAGAGTTACAGCTGCATTAGTTCTTCAGAATTAGGACTACATGGCTTTGTAACAGCTTAAAAGTGACCTAATTATGAATCCAGTTCAGCAGGCACTTCAAGAGCAGAGAAACAAGAGGCAGGTGCTATTCCAAAGAGACCCATGTTCAGCTCTGTCATGATTTTCTTTGCTATGAAACCCTGGTGATGGTGAGAGCTATAGGTGGAGACCAAGACTTCAGATTCCACAAGCTGAGGAAATTTAAGCCTAAATATCTAGCTTCTGGTAGATGCTTTTTGGTCTCTCTGCTGGAGGTGAGCTGAGGGCACGAAGATGTGAGAGGTTGCTTTGAGCAGGGGAGGAAGCCCAACTCTCACAGCTGAACTGGGGCACTCAGCTGAGTGAGTTTGAAAGTTTGGCCTATAGTGGGAAAATAGAAAAAATATCTGATATTATATTGAATGTGTCTACTTCAGGTAGGTCATTCTTATTTGCACTGAGAAGGAATGAGACTTTTGTAGACTCTTGTATTCCTAACTGGAAAGCAAAATAGTTGTGTTGATGGACCTCTGCCCTTATTCACACAAATACAAGGGTGCAGAATTCAGCAAGTCTCATCAGATAGCACAAACCTGGCGCAGGTACTCATGATTATGTAGAAGTGCATAATCTACATGGCAAAGGTATATACCTAGAGAAAAAGCTATCAGAAAAGGCAAGCTACAATATGAGCCTTCAGTTTATTTCAGTTATTATTTTTTGAGTTAAATTTAATTTTCAGATCTTCTTTGGTATTTTTTCAACTCATTGGGGAATGAATAAGTCCTGGTTTATTTATCAAGTTATTTTCTCTATAATTTTCTTTCTTCAATATACCTGTAAAAGCCTTTTTGATTCCTCTTAAATACCTTGACTGGCATGAAATGGTTTTGCTTGTTTCCATGTCTTATATTGTGCTCTCACATATGGCAGCTGATTTGTTTTATTTCCTTTCTCTATGCTACATATAATTCTTTTCATAATTACAGCCACAGATTTTTATTCCTGTTTCTTGTCAAATTACATCTGTGCTTGCTTCTATGCATTCTTTCCTTCTGAAGTAACTAGTGTCTTTTGTCTATCACTTTTATTTTCTCCAAGTTTTTTTCATGTGGCTTTTATTCTGAGATACAGTAACTGCTTATCCTTCCAAGAAGCAAGCTGCAAGGTTATAGCAATGATTCATTTGGACAATTCAAGTTGGCTAGCTCAGCGCATAAAATTTCTCATCTTTTTCATCAACTTTTACAGGTTTCCTTGCATCCTGCAGCCTAGTGGTGTTCCTGGTGGTGGAGAAATAACATAATCCTTGTCTGAAAGGCATGCATGAACTGTCCCTGAGTAAAATTCATGTGGGTCAGGAGTCACAGCTTGGCAATGCCTGCTTTAGAGTAGCTCGAAACATATGCAGACATCTCCCTTCATCTGTAAAGTTGAGCCGACAACTCAAATTAGCTCCCTTTTAAGTGGTTAATTTATCCTATATTTTGATTAGGAGAGTAATAACCTTTGTCAGTCATGCTCATAGTACCCTTGGCTTGACATAAAGAGCTGCCCTTTCTGTCCCCCTGGAAATTTGGTGAGTCACCAAGCAAAAAACCCAGCAAAAGGGCAAGATTATTCTCACGTGAGAAGTCTGAGCAGTTACATATCTACCGCTTTACAAAAGGACAGCACACAAAAGTCTCAGAGTCCCTTCCCTAATGCAAACCCACAACAATATATGTGAGCAAACAAACAAACAAATCTTACAAAAACAAGAGATTGTTTATCCTTAGCCTCAGGGAAAGACTGAGATAAGGTCCATAGCAGGTGTCTATCTCCCAAGTGGAAAGAGATCAGATGTGGAGGTGAGCTCTGGAGGCTATGAAACAGAAGGTGTATATGAAAGCTTTAGAATAAGGCTTGCTCTGCATATACATACGCAGAAAGGTTACGTAGCAAGGGAGAAACCTGCCTTATATCCCTAAGGAGAAGATGAGAGCAGCCCATCCCCAGAAGCACACCTCTTTACTGAGTGATGGGCCAGGGTATATTCATAAACAAACCTTCTTTGCTCCTACCCTCCCACCACCGAAGATTTGGGTTTCCACAGCAATGCCAATCTTCTCTGCTAGCTGAAAAACATAGCCCAAACCTGTCAGCTGCACTGAGGCCAGGAGCTTCCTTGTTTTCATCCGCTTGGTGTGAGTCAGCACCACCCACAACAGCCCTCATGGAAGACACTGAATTAGTCATTATTCTGGATTTGTGTTTCCTTTCTTTGTAGAGAAATTAGGGGACCCTAATGATGCAGATTCAGAGTGGGAAGGTGGTGGAATAAGAGGAGGAGGAGAATGCGTTCACACATGCTCCCAGGGGGTCTATGTAATTTCCCCAGAGAGGGGACTTCTCTGTCCATTACCTGACTGTACTCAGGGCATGTCAATGTAATGCCAGTGGAGTCTCCCGATCTAGGTGCAAGCAGAAAATATGCTGGGATACACTGGCTGTATATGGTAGGACCAAAATCAATATAGACAAAGCGTATTTACTACACATCCCTGGCCTGTCTTTGAGAATACATTATTTTGAATAATGGCTCTAGCAGCTGTCATGCTCCCCTCTTTTTCACACCTGAAACTTCCCTCTTTTCTCTACAAGACTGTAAAGTTTGGTTTAAAAGCACTATCTCACACTGATTTTGCTGTAGATGTGGCATATAGCATCTCTTAAATTAAAGGCAGAAGTGTTTAATTCCTGTGGTCTCTTCTGGCTTGGATTTGGTTTCTATTTCTGTGGGAGAAAATGAGCTCCTTCTAGGTTCTCAGAATGCACTTCCAAAAAGCTGCAATAGAAAAACTGGAATTAATGGAACATAAAGTGCTAGTACAACTTCGGCTTGATTACACAGAAAGCTGTGAAAGTTAAAAGGACATCAGATCTGTTGAATTGTAACTAATAAAAAGCCATAAAGGAAATGAAATGAGATCACCAGTGTTAATCAAACGAACTCTAATGCTGTTTTCATAATGCATTACTAGATTTGGAGATTGCTAGGTGGCTAATAGAGCAATTCTACCACGCGACCATTTGACCAAAATAGTCAGAGTACTTAGGTTTCCCCATACCATGTGAAGCCTGTAATGTCAGCCCTGAAATTCAGAGGTGAAATACTGCAGAGTATACAGTCTCAGCTCTCTTCTAGAAACAGTGATAACATCGGTTTCACTGTGCAGGCTGCTACAGTGTTCATAAGCTTAGATAGTTTTTAGTTAACTGTTAAATTTCAGACCTAAAGCATGGCTTCTCACATAAGATTTTCATGTTCAAGGGTGTTATTCCAAGACATTTGGGGTACTGGGGATCACTTTTGCAATGCCTAAACTTTACAATAACCTTGTAGAATTTGTAATCCAGGAATAGGTGCTAGGTTACCCTTACTGTGAGTAAGGACAGAGCCTTCAGTGATTTAGTAACCAATGAAGTCTACACCAGATATGTCAGTAGAGCCTTTTGCCTCTCCATGACTTTATGGCATTCATCCATTAGGCTTCCTGAGGAGGCTGTACAAGATCAGTTGATGCTTAGCAAGCCTAGCAAGCGTTCATAGCACACAGCTTTGCTTCACCAGCAGTTCTGTTTTGTACTGATTTGGCTACCTTACATTAAGAATTTCCTCAGCTTGGGAGAATTTGAATGCTTGTCTCATATGTTCAAAAAACATCCTAGCCACAGTGTAAGTATAAACAGCCTTTGGAATTAGCTCAGTGCACTTTTGGGGTTGAACAAGAATGTTGGCAGGAAGAGTAGACTAACACTTAGGAACAACAGGAAAAGAAATCCTCCCCCTCTACTCTGCTCTTGTGAGAACTTACTCGGAGTATTGTGTGCAGTTCTGGTGTCCTCAACATAAAAAGGACATGGGACTTTTGGAACAAGTCCAGAGGAGGGCCACGAGGATGATCAGGGGACTGGAGCACCTCCTGTATGAAGACAGGATGAGAAAGTTGGGGCTGTTCAGCCTGGAGAAAAGAAGGCTGTGTGGAGATCTAGCAGCCTTCCAGTATCTGGAGGGGGCCTGTGAGGATGCTGGAGAGGGACTCTTCATTAGGGACGGTAGTGATAGGACAAGGGGTAACTGGTTCAGACTTAAAGAGGGGAAGTTTAGATTGGATATAAGGAGGAAGTTCTTTACTGTGAGGGTGGTCAGGCACTGGAATGGGTTTTCCAAGGGCGCTGTGAATGCGCCATCCCTGGCGGTGTTCAAGGCCAGGTTGGACAGAGCCTTGGGTGGCATGGTTTAGTGTGAGGTGTCCCTGCCATGTTGGAACTAGATGATCTTAAGGTTCTTTCCAACCCTAACTATTCTATGATTCTATGATTCTAAGAAAGTACCTACAATTTTAGCCTAGTCCTGTGATTGTTTCTACTCTTTTATGTAATATTATCGAGTAACTCAGCATTTTATGTCATTGCTATTCCAATCTATTAAATTGAGTAAAAGTAGAAGTTTGAGTGTTTAAGTAGCTCCAAGGCTTGATCTTGATAAGATGCCTGAATAACTATATTCTGGATTTCTTTTAATATCTAAGTGTCAAAAGTGGAAGTGAACATGACAGCTGTGAAATATTTAATGTCAATTTACAGCATTTTAGGATAAAGCCTTTGTGGCTTTGCAAAAGGAAATTTTACTGGGTCTTAAATATAAATAAACTTGTGTTAGTAGCTGTACTTGTTCCCCTTTTGTTATCAGTGGATAGAAAGGTAGTCCACTGTACCAGGGCAGACCAGGTGTATGCAGGTGGAAATTTTAGACTCCAGGATGGAAACATAGTCAGAATTTTTCCCTAATCAGCAGTGAGTGCAAGTTGCTCCTCCTGTTAATCCTGTGGGCCTTCAGAGCAGATTGATCCAAATGAGCCTTAAGGTGTAACATTAACTGCTGGATATGCATTGCTAATTACTACTTGATGCAGTGATAATTAAACATGACTACCTCTTGCAAGACTGGCCTTGCCGTTCACTTAAAAAAACCAAACCAAACCAATCCAAACCATTCTTTCCTTTATCTCCTTAATGGAGTCTGGCCCTTTCTATGAATAGCATATGTAGAGCTTTTCGGTTTTTAAAACAAATGGTGGTTTTGCTTCACCAGTCCTATAGGTCTGGGCTGCTTCTTTGCAAGGCACTGTGATGTACCACAGCCGTCCATAGTAAAAAGGCTTTTTTCTCTTCCTGTAAAGTGGAGCTATGCTGAGGATCTTGTAACAGCTGGAACAATTTTCTGAAGATGAAGTTTGTAATAGTGCTGCTGTTAGTCCCACCTCTTATGAAATGCCTATCACTTCTTTCATATAGTAGGGAATTGTAAATTAATTCTTCTGTCTCCATGGGTTTGGAGTAGAAATGATGCCTTCACAGTTCAATGAAGTGGAAAGTCTTTCATCAGTAGAAAATCAGCCAAGGAATTGGATGGCAAAGGCCTCATACATTACAAAACAGTTGTTTGCAATTAAGGCCAAGAGTAAGATGTGCATGAGTCTGTCAAGTTTCTTTTTGTTTATTTAATCAGCCTGAGGCATAACATTAGATAGTTTGAAGTGGCATTGTTTCCTTGTCATGTCCTATGATTTGCCATGTATTATGTGTACTGTATATGTACTGCATCAGAAAACCGAAATCTGTTCAAAATACGTAGGTGTTTAATATTTTCCATGAATCCTGATCAATAATCAGGATGTTTTCATAGAAGCGTTAACCTTCTAAAGTAGGGATCACTGCTGATGCAGGGAGATTATTTTGGAAGTTGTTAGAAAGAATCAGCTAGGAAACACAAGGACATCAGCAGAATTAAATTCACTGTGCTGCAATGTTTCTCTGCAGTCACAGTGGCAAAGATGGTCTCAGCCTCTGCTGATGTTTCTTTTTCAGTGTCACAAAGCATACATTTCAGGGACAGTGCACTATGAGAGAGAACTTTGTAACTGATATGAAGTTGAATAGAGTCAAATATGAACTGAAAGTAAGCTAGAAAAAGAGTCATGTAGTTTGGTCAACATCAGCCCCTAAAGTCTTGCTACTGCCAGTTTTAATAGCAATCTCAGAACAGCAGGTAATCTTATTTACCATATGCTAAGCACGGTGCAGCAGATGGATGATGGCATTCTAGCGTTTTCTGTGCTTTCCTTGCACTTGTCAATTCAAGCCCTGGGAAAAAGGCTGGTATCCAGATTGATAACACATGGATGTTCTCTAAGGGCTTGACTCTTTCATCGGTGCAGTATTGCAGAAAGAATTGAAAATCCTTTCTCTATGAAGGTAAATGCAGTTAGTAATAGCTGGTAGTTCTGAAGATGAGTTTATTAGGTCTGTCTCAAAGTTGTCAGAAGGTAAATCAGGCTTTAAAGAACAGAATAGCCAGAGCTGATCAGGTGGTAGAAGAGTGTTATGGGATATCACACATAAAGCATCTCCTCAGAGAAACTAATAAAGGAAGGAAAAATCAACTTTAAGGGAGTAATGATGAGTAGCCTGGGTACATCACTATTTCAGTAACGTGCATGAGCCTTCAGTAACAAAATTAAATCCTTATAAGGCAATCTGAGACTGACCAGATCTATACTGTTAATGTTTTTAAATATTTTTTTCTCCTCTATGCAGTAAATCTTACACAATAGACTGAACACTGACACTGAATTAGAAGACTAAGTATTGTAGCCTAGTAGCCAGTTGGTGTCCTTGGATTTGACAGATACTATAACAAAAAATGTTGGAGATTACTATTAAAAATATCTTTAAAACATTTATCATGAGTCCTTTTTCTGAAAAAAAAAAATAAAGCTCTTTAAAAAGTAAAATTTACCATACCTTATTCTGTTTCCTGAAGTCTTTTACAGATCTGAGAACCACATCTGTCAGGAATCTCCAATGGGTCTAAAGGAGCATGGTATTTTTAAGAAACAATAAAACAAGTCATAGCATTTTCAAAGTGAGGTAGGAAGGAAAATAAAACTTCTATTGCCATATCATTATATTAATCATCAGATTTTAAAGGTACTACTCAATCTTCTCCGATTCATTTTGTACATCTTGAAAAATGGTAACAGGGGAGAATATAGAGTGTAGCTCAGGAGCACCTTGTCAGTGGGTTCAAGGGCTTTCTAGCTCCCTCTCCCATTGGAGACATCTGATGACTGCAAACCATTAGAGTTTGGAACAGTCTTCATGCTTTCCTTGTCTTTATGTCCTTTGTGAGGCATTAGTTATTGGCCACTTCTAGTGACAGATCCTGATTTGAAAATACCTTTCTTTGACCCAGGATATTTTTAGTGATGTTACTCACCTTTTTAGAATAGGTTAGTCTTCTGCTTGCAAAGTGAAGCGAAGCAGCTCCATGTGGAAGAAGCAGTAAGCATGAGAGTCAGTGCAAAGGAGAAGGAAAGAATACATTGTGTGGGCAGGGAGGTTGGGATCTTGTCAGGCATCAGTGGGTTGATTTAAATTGCCATGGGATTGTAGGCTTCTACAAACCTGGTTTCTAAAGTTTTTACACAGAAAAGAAATAGCATTTTATCCTATTTTAAATGAAAGCAGAAATACTACTGCCTATAACATTCAACTCCTGACATTTTCTCTTGCTCCAGCACTAACTGCTTTAGGAGAAGTGAGGCCTTGAACTTTTTTGAGTGGGTATTAAAAATCCCTCCCAAGGATGGTTTTGGCCTTTCCAAGGAAGTGCATAACTTATTTCAGACATAAGCTATTTTTAGAACATTCTCTAGCCCTGCTAAAACTTCAATGAGAGGTATCACTTAAACTGCAAGCAAACACCTTTTGCTAGAGCACTCTACTACACTGAAGATAAACCAGTTGCATGTGTGAAATCATATCTGCAAAATAACTGTATTCAATGACTTCAGCATGGGATTTAGGTACTGCAGTGTAACAATCAGTTTATTCCATCAAACTTAAAATGTCTAGAAACAGAATTGTAGAATTTAGAGAAGCCTCAAACTCATGAAATTTCTGAACTAGCACCTTAGACAGGTGTCTGAGCATTTAAGTAAAAAACTCTCATCTGTTAAGAAAGCATCATTTGAAAGTTTCAGACAGTAATTTTATAGGACCTTTATTTTCTCACGGTTGCTAACATTTGATTGTTTAGAGTAAAATAGATATATCTTGTTAGATAATGATTTCAACAAGTCTCATCATTGTCAAGGAGCCTATACTGAGGACAAGGAAATGAAGTTTAAAACTTCATTGTCGTGTTTGTGGGTTGATTGAAATTTTGCTTCTATTTTCTTCAAATTACGAGCTACAGTTTGATCTTATATATTGCTCAAATCAAAGAGCAGAAGCAATGTAAGTTAAATCTTTAGCACATACAAACATGAATCTTTTGCATTCATGCAGCAGTCTGGATATATTCTTAAGGCATGTGTCCAGTATAAGTAACTGCTAATATAATTAGGTACTGCAGAAAAGTTAAATAACAGACATCTGTGAAACAAATTTTAATGGCTCTATTACCCAAGTTTCTGAGTATACATCAGTGTCTTGCTGTACAGAGTTCCATGCATTACTCACTGGGCTTCTTTTTTTCTGGAAGTTTACCTGCTATGGGCCTTATATTACAGTATCCTCTGCCACTCAACTTTACTGCTGAGGTCATCCAGGATGCAAAACCAGGAAGATTTCTCTAAGTTACTCCCTCATCTTTTCCACTTGGATGGTCCCAATAAGTTCCATAGGTTCCAGTATGAATTATGTCAGCTCACTAGGGAATAAACGTGCACAGTAGTGTTTTCATAGCTTGAGTTTGAAAGATGACTGGACTAGCTTGTGACATTGGGCTTGGACCTCCTCTGTGGTCTGTGTGATGCTGAACTAATGTGCAATACTTAAGATGAATACTAATGGTGGAGGGGGATCTTCACAGTGTCACAGAATGGTTGAGGTTGAAAAGAGGCTCCTTTCCCCTGCTTGAGCAGGGCCACCCAGAGCTAGTTGCCCAGGACCAGATGGCTTTTGAATATCTCCAATGATGGGGACTCTGTAACCACTCCGTGCAGCTTGTGTCAGTGCTTAGTCAGCCTCAGTAAAAAAGATTTTCCTGATATTCAGACGTGTCTTCTGTGTTTAAGTCTGTGCCCATTGCCCCTCTTGAACTACTGTAATTTGTTGCTAAAAATGTTTTCTCTTGTATTTTTAGACATCATGCCAAATAAAAAAAACCCAAACATTAAAATAGGGCAATATATTTTGATTATGCTTATTTTTCTGTTTAAGAAAAGGCAGTATAGTGGGGTAACTGAATCACTGATCTCCAAATGGCAGTCTTTTATCTATCTATACACTGATTCCTGAAAATACAATTTCAAATTCATCTCAGATAATCTTTTGTGCTGCAATTATTGTTCTATGTAGTTTAAATAGCAGCTGGGAAAATTTGATAAAATTACACAGAAATATTAGCAGATTTAATCCAAACATTTATCAGAGCTGAAAAGCCTTCAATTTTATGGTACAGAAAATGTGAAAGATGCAAAGTGTTTAGAGAACTTGAATGCCGTAAGTTAACAGCTGCAACTTCATATAGCTGTGCATCATTCTGTAATCATAAACTCAATCTAAGAGTGCTCTTTCCAGTCTGAACACTCATGATCAATTTGAATAGAAATGATTCACTCAGTATTTGGAAAGCAAAGCATAGATGCTGAAATGAATTATTAACAAATTGCGCCTGAAGAAGTAAATACCATAAGGTCAGAACTTCTCAAACCCGTTATGAATACTGCAGCAAAATCCCCATTAACCTAAGAGTGTGCTTTGGGTGTTGTGTTGGATCTATGTATTAAGATTCAGTTTGGAAATTTTCTTTTCACTAGGTCGTGTCAAAAAGACTCAAGGACGTTGCATTGCAGTCTCAGTGAAAGTGTGTCACTCTCCTGCTCTTTTAGGTTTCTTGATACATTGCAATGCATCTGAATCCTCTTTCCTCCTCTGCTATTCCTGACTATTCCTCTGTGCTTTCTGAACCAGATTTGTGTAAGATATCGCCTAAATTTACCCATGTGTCTCCAAAATTGCAAATGATAAACTGGAGTTAAGCCAGCTGACTTTAACAGGAATGAGTGTAGTCGTGCCTGTTAGATCACAGTCTCTGTGATTTTTCTGATCAATGCAGAAAGATATTCATTTCAAATGGATATTTTATGCTTAGAGATAGCTTTGTCCTCATTTGTCCCTTTCATTGAAAATACTTCTCAGCCTTCAGTTATAATTTGTAGTCAGGGCTATATAAAGCCAGTACCACCCAAAGCCACCTGGAATCTGTCTGCTTACCTGAAAATCATAAAAATGTTAAATTGGATAAAATCTCCTCACTGAACACTATTATGTTAGTTAAGTATCTCAGCTTTTATGTCTGGATGCGGGCAGGATAAAGGAGTCTTATACAGGAAAACAGTGAGTAGCATTGTAGCTACTGGAGAAAATTTCACATATGTTCTACCATGTTTTGTTGGCAAGGCTTTGAAGCAGCATGTAGAAAGGGCACATTGCTCACAGTGCTAGCACATATGATTAAAGATACAGCAAGACAAGTAGCAATCTCTCACAAGAGTTTTAAGAATCACTTATTTAGAAAACCGATGCTTGCAAATCACTGAGCAAGATAAACAGCCCACAGGGAAAACGTGATCTTATTATAATCTGAACCACCAACCACTCTGCTACCATAGCTGGGAATATTCACATTCTGGATACCTTCCAAAATCTGTGTCCTCATCAATCTTTAGATGTTGGGTTTGAAGTGGTTGGTGCTTTGTTTTCAGTTTTGGTTGGGTTATTTTTTTTTTTTTTTCATCCTGTATTCTCCTTTTAAAAGACATTTTCCAATTGCTTTTATTCTTTTGCTTATGAATCTTTTAAGAGCCATACAATGTATAAAGCATAAAAATACTTATTTGCTGAACTAATTTCTTGACACTTACTGAATGGCAACATTAGCTGTATGTTTATGCCAGTAATAACGATACTGTGCTTGGCTGTTTGTTACCAGGTGCACGTTACCAGATAAAAGCAGAGGTATGACAACTGTTTATTTTGACTTCTGAAACACCACCAGCTTTTGGTGCTGAAATCTCTATAACTCTTCTTCTAATCTTGTTTTTCTGTCTGTCATTTTGGTTTTAATGGTTGCTCTGCTTTTTTTGATACACCTGGTTACAGTGAGCTTCTAAAGTCATTTTTTAGCTCACACGCTACTGCAACTGAATTAATTACAGCAAAGTGCTGCAACAGGACAGCAATGATGTTCTTTGAGGTGTGTGTTAAACCAGATTCCCGGATGGATGAGTTTTTTAATAAACTCAGCTACACCACATGTATCAGTTTTCTCAACTGTCTAGAAACCAAGTTTATACATGCAGTGCTCTCTCACACACATACACGTGGTCTGTCTGGGCTAAGGGACCACACTGATGTACATCAAGTAAAGGTGAAAAGCCATTGCACGTATAGGTAATTTTAATCCATTCCATTTTTAAATACCACAATAAATTTAATTTTCACAATAAATTAAATAGCCATATTCAGTTTACAAAATAGAATTACTTAGTGTGAAACCAGTATTTACAAAGATTGTACACTATGTACAGCGATGTTTAGCTTTGTTGACACACAAGCATAGAAGAAAAAAATTATTTGACTTTTTTTTTGACACGATTGACATGCTACAAGTGACACTATGGTCCATACAATAAAACAATAGTGCAAACTCACCACAGGAACTCTGAAACAATGTAGTTTGTATGAGATCAGATATTAATTTCAAATAATAAGAAAATAGTACTATCCACTCTCATTGTAAAAATTCAGCACTGTGTTTAAAGCATCAGTATTCCTTTAGCAATATATATACCAAATATAGCCTGAAGATTATGCTTTATCACAGATTCACAGATTTTGACATGAATTTTTATGGCATAAACTAGTGTTCTGCTTAGATCAATAAGTATGTCACATAAACACTTCACTAAGCGAGAGGAACACTGACCCTTTCAACGGTGTCTGACTTTATTTCTCTAAATACCTCCTTTCCCTTTGTTATTATATCTTAAAAGATGCAACTATGCTGACAGTAAATTTATGTTAGTTACTGCTCTGTAGAAAAAATTGTTCCCACATATATTTGGTCACACACTGCATATATACACTTATGCATGAAAAAAAGTTACTTTGACAGCCGTGTCTATGAAAAGTGCATATTTTAGCAGAGACATTTATTGTATATCTCAGGTGCAACAGAAAATGTTGTATGAAGTTTAGTTCAGGGCCAGTTAAATGTCCTCCCAGTGATCTGGTAAAATTTTTGATTAAAAGGATGAAAGAACTTGCGCAATTTGGTAATGACAGAGGTATCCACCTCTGGATGGATGCGTCCCTTGCTACCCGCCAGGCACTTGTTAAAGACAATGTTAAATCGCAAGCAGTAAAACCCTCTGGTGGCATTGAAGTATAAATTGTACTGACTTATCCTCGGAGGAAGATTTAGGAACTTCTCGACCAGCTGGAGTTCTGGCAGTGGTTCTGTGATGAGCCGGTCTCCATCCACAATATGAAACTGCTCAATCGGGAAGTATTTCAACCATCTCTCCAGATGTTTTGTGTAGATGCTGGTTCTCACTGCCTTATACTTAGTGTTCACTTCACAGGTACTAGGATCAATAGCCAGCTTCTCAAATTTGTAGTAAGTTTTGTTCTTTCTTTCCTTACCTTCCAGCACCTGAGTGTAATCAGAAATAGCTCTTGTGGTAGGTTCCCTGACAATGATCAATAATTTGATAGATGAGTTCATTTTGTAAATCCTTTCAGGTACTTCCTCAGTGATAAAATACGCGGGGCTTTTCTCAATTGTTATTTGTTGTGGGTAAGAAAAAGGCATTTTTTTCCGGTACCACTCAATCCCCTTGGCATAGTTCTCATCATTGTCAAAGAAGTGAATCTCTTGAGAAGCTTTGACCACGGCAGGGTGAAGGTTCAGCATCTCCAGTAGTGCTCGGGTGCCTCCTTTCCTCACCCCAATGATAATGGCCTTGGGAAGCTGCTGGACAAGATTGTGCAGTCGTATTTGCTCCTTGGTGGCATTGCCCTTTCGGAATTCATGGAGCAACCCTCGCTTGAACTGCAGAGCTCGCAGTGGGATTTCGTCCTGGCTGTGGGGTCCAAATCGACCATCGATGGGGCAGAGGGGCTGCAGCCTGCAAGCAAAATAAGAGGTATTTGTAAAAAAAGGCTATCTCTTAAGGCATGTTTTCTGCATAAGGCAATCACGCTCTTGGAAACCTTTTACAATACAGTGTCATCAGCCCAGCTATCAACTTTTATTTAATTATTCCAGTGATTATTGCTTGAAAATTGTTTATTTGTTCTGGTCTTTTGCTGTGATTTAGCTGAGTAACTCCTAACTCCACCCTCCTGCTCTTTTCAAACATAGGCACTATGATTACAGTTCTCAGGGCTTCTTGAACCTTGCTTAACCTCCCACACTCCTCATTAATTTGTGATTGCCTTGGCAGTTCTTAAAGCATTCTAAGATGAATTTTATTTGTTCATTTTGGTCTAAAAATCCAGTTCATGTAAGTTGCTTCTTTTCAACATTTTTCCTGTTCTAGCCTGAATTCTTTCCTGCACTTCCCATTGTGTTGTTGTTATTAGCTGCTGATCCAGAGTTGGCCTTTTTATTGAAGAGAAGCAAACAGGATGAGAAACAGCTTTCTAGGCATCACTTTTCAATAGTTTCCTTCCTCTTTGGAAGTTGCCCAGTGTTTCCTTGTGAATCAGAAAGACCAAGGTTCTGAATCAGACACGATTAGGAAGGCACAGACAGAATGGCAAGAAAAGTTTTAAAAAATGCACTTACTGCATCATTACATCAATGATTTTCTTATCATCACGAATGTTTCTTCCTACAAAACCTCATTTTCTTTTCTTCTGTGGGGCTTCTTTTGCCCCACATTTTTGTGCTATTCTTTTATATTCATCTGCAATTATTTCACCTATTTTCCACTTTTTTATACTTCCTTCTTGCATTTGGTTTCAGTGAATGTAAGAAATGACTCAGTAATAAAAACATTAAAATTTTGCTACCACACAACCTTAAATAAGCCTTCACCTCCACTCCTGTTTCAGCGCTTTAGTAATTATACAGGCCAGTATTGCATTGAAGATGAAATTGATGTG